TTTTTGTTATAACATATTTTATGTTTTCTCTCAATAAATGAAGGGCAAGATCACCTAAGTTTCAAAAAAAAAAAAAATAAGAATATATCTTTAATTCACTAGATTCGTAATAATTTTGTTAATAATCATAATTTCTACTTATTATTTAAATTATGATTGCTTAAATATGTTATTACCATATGCATATGATCTGAAAAAGATTATCTACAAAAAATATACCTATTTATTTATTTATTTTTTATTATTAATAAAGATAATAAAGCAAAATAAATAATGAAATTTACTTAACAATTAATGCCCGTTATTTACTACTATATGTTTAAAAAAAAATTTATTAGAAGTGTATACTGGATATTCCTATAATCAGTGTAAGTATAAATTACCTAATTTAAAAAAAGTGTATTATGTGTATGATCTTTCCAAGTCTTTAGCATAGTTCTTCTTTTGCGATAGGTCTCAATTTGTTTAACCATTATATTAATTGCTTGAAAGTTTTTTTCTATGCTTTTACCTCATTTAATGTTTTTTGTATCTTTATGTTCATATAATAAGTCAAGTGCTTTTTGTATTGTATCAATTAGTTGATCAAAAAAGATATCCGAATTTTTAACTTGATTATTGTCATTAATATTCTGATCGTTATTACTAGTATTCTGATTATTATTACTAGTATTCTAATCATTATTATCAGTATCTTGATAGTTATTACTAGTATCCTAATCGTAATTACTAGTATTCTGATCGTAATTACTAGTATCTATATTAATTATTGAAGAGCAAATTAAACCAGTATCTTGAACTTCTTTTGCTTCAATTAAAAACAGATATTAATTATTTCATTTTATTTGGTCAAAGAATTGTGATGACACTGTTTTCTTTTTATGAACAAGATGTTTGCATATAAGAAACCGGTTTGTAAGATAATAAGGACAGCTGCATGTCCACTGTTCTATATTTGTAGTATAAAGTTTATTACTCCCTTCTTTAATATTCTTTTTTGCTAATTGTTTCTATTCTGATTTTATTGCTTTGTGCCAATCAGGTTTTTCTCGTCCAAGTCTAATTTGATTAAACTTGCACTGTTGATATATCATTACCTTTTTCATAAGAATATAAATGACTAAATCTAGTCTTGGATGGAAAAACTTGTAAAGGAAATCTTGTTTGATTACTTTCTAGTATGACTCTATAAATATAGTTGTTTTTAAGACAGAGACTTTGTTTTCACAACTTGCTCGCATCCACAAAGCCTATTGATCTGCACAGTACCATTCTTTTCTAAGATAAATCCAGAGAAAAGGTAATAAATTATCTTTGCAAAAAACATAAATTTCTTTTACAGCTTGTTCCCAAATTTGTAAACATGTTAGTTTCAAATTAGAAGTTGGTATTAATGGATGAAGATGTAAATGTTTATTTATTAATTTCTAAACTGATATGTGTAATTCTTTAGGACAAAAAATTGTACCTTTTTGAACTAGAAATTGTGGAACAAAATCTTTTTTGATAAAAGAAAAATACTCATAAGCAGTGTTTAAAATTCAAACTTAATATTATGTTCTCAAATAAGCTTAATTTAAATTATTAGTGTTCTTAAAAATTTTTTAATATTTATTAATTAAGTTATAATGAACATTAATTTTTTAATAATGTTCATAATTTTAATAAAATATTTTTTATATTTTAAATACTTTATATAAAAATATTATCTAATAATTTAAAATTTTAATTGAAACAAAAATAAAAAAATATAGTTTAAAATATATTTTATTTTTAATAAGACAAATACTTAAAATTTAACTTTTATGTCTAAACTCTTCCTTGATTAAATATTTAAATTTAAATTTTCTAAAACTAATTCTATCTAAATTTATTTAACTATTTATTTATTTATTTAACTAACTATTTATTTATTTAACTAACTAACCAACTATTTATTTATTTACTTAAACTATCTTCTTATTTTTTATAACAAAGATAAGTATTATATTTTCTTTGTAGCTTTTTTTATTATTATATTATTATTTTTTTATCTACTAACTTCTCTTACTCTTTTTCCATTCTTTTTTTTAGCTTTGCTCTCTTTACAGTTTTCATTAGAAGCACCAATTATTATAGCCAGCAATATCATCTAGACTAAGATAGTTTTGGAAGTGTTTTATTATTATTTATTTATTTATTTATTTATTTATTTTTATTATTTTATTTTAACTTATTTCATATTTTTCTTCTCAGTTAATTACAATATCTCTTCAGGATCTGGCATCAGATAAGTAAACCTTTCTTTTGTTTATTTTTTTTATTTTTATTTTTTTATTAATTAATGCTAATTAATTTTTTTCTAGTTTAGATTAAGTGATATGAGACTTATGCTCTAAGTATATTATTAGGCTCTTCTAATAATTATAGTAATGCAGAATCATAGATTAGATATGGGTTTGCTCTTTGAAGATAATTGGGTTCTAATTTTAGAATAGCAACTTTGGATAAGTAGAGTAGTTCTCCTATCAAACTGGACTGAACCAAACTTTTGTCAAGTTTGAGTCTGGTTTGATTTTCAGACTGAACTCAAACTTTTTATTTCAAACTTTTTAGTCAAGTTTGAGTTTGGTCCAGGTTTAGTCCGAAGTTTACAAACTAGTTTGAGTCCGAATATTTATATATGTATTTTTTTTGTTCTGAACAGGTTTACTTAGAGCATGAAGTTAGATTTAATTAGTAAAATATTGAGAATTATAATATTTTTAATAATTTTATTAATAAAATTATTAAAAATATTATAATTCTCAAAATATTACTAATTGAATCTAATTTCATGCTCTAAGTAAACTTATTTAGCATACAAAAACACATTAAGGCAGCATATTTTCTTTTATATTTCCTAAAATTTGAAGAGAAGATGCTTAATTCTAGATTTTTGATAAAAATACCTAAAATTAAGCATCTTTTCTTCAAATTTCGAGAAATATAAAATAAAATATGCTACCCTAATGTATTTTTGTATGCTAAACATATTTACTTAGTGTATGAAATTAGATTTAATTAGTAAAATGTTGAGAATTATAACATGTTTGATAATTTTATTAATAAAATTATCAAAAATATTATAATTATCTAAATTTTACTAATTGAATCTAATTTTAAGTAAACTTGTTCAGCACAAAAAAATACATATATATATATTCGGACTCGAACTAGTTTGCAAACTTAAGACCAGATTCAGACCAAACTATAGCTGAGTTTGAGTCTGGTTTAAAGTTTGAAATTGGTAAAATTTAGAGTTTGAGTCTAGTTTGAACTCAGACCAGACTCAGACCAGACTGAACCTGAACTAGACCTAGGAGTACTAAAGTAGAGTTTTTTAACTTTAGTTTAGGTCTTGTTTTTTTGATCGTATTACTAATATTATTCTTTTTCTATTTGAATTAGGATTTAAGGTAAACGCTTTTTGAAAGATAAATATAAGACTACTACCGTATAGATGTATAATAACATATATCAGCATGTTATTTTGAGACCCTGTATATTATTTCGAAATATTATATGTGATAATTCGAATTTTTGTACTAATTTTGAGAAAAAAGTTACAACTACTAAAAGGCTTTACTTTAATAAATATGCAGGGTGTACATTATTTTGAGTCAAATATGCGATTTTCAAAAAAGTAAAAATTTCAAAATAATCCTCATGTACGTTATTACATATCTATATGGTAGATATTTAAGCTAAGTAAAGTTTTTCTCTAACTTTAGTTCAGGTTTTGTTTTTTTATCGTGTTATTAATATAATTTGTTTTCTTTTTAAATTAGAATTTAAGGTGAGTGGCTTTTTAATAGATAAAATATAAAACTACTGGATATTTGAGCTGCATATATTAATTATTATATTGCTTTGTATTGTTTTATTTTTTTTATCTAATTCTTTATTTTTTTTTAGATATCAAACAATTATTTGGCAAAATATCTATCTAGTAATTACAAGAAAATATTACAAATAGAATATAATCATTATGTATGTTCGTTATTATGATAATAATAAATATTCATTTTATTACAATAGAATAAACTTAAAAACAAATAGAATACTTTATTTTTTAAAAATATCATATTAATTTTGAATTGATAATGATATAATATAAGTACTATTTTATTTACTAAAATAACTATAATTGTCTAACTCGATGATCAAGTTTGCACCATTCTTGATATGCTAATTGAAAATCAAAATTCTCTAATTTAGGTCCATTAAAAGAAACAAGAAGAAGATAATTAAGTGTAAAAATGCTCATATAATTTCGAAGTTTTGTTTTGATTAAATTTTGTCTAGAAAAAATTCACTCAACAACTGCATTAGTTAAAGGAAGATTAATTAAGATAGAAATTAACTTTGCAGTTTCTAGATAAATTTCATTAAAAGTAGAAAGATCAAGAAATATATATTTCCAGGCTTCTAAAAAATTTAGGTTTTTGTAATTAGTTAAAAGATATCTAACTGATAACCATTCATGCTTTAAATTTTTAGAATTCAATCTTGCAGAAAATAAATTTCCTGATACAAATTTATCTTGACTATAAAAGTTACCCAAAATTTCGATTTCATCTTCACCATATTTTTGAAAATCTGAATTATTAACTGGTAAAGCCATCAGATCAAAAATATGAAATATATCAATTTGAATTCGGTTTGGAAACCTTTTTTCTAATAATTCAACTGTAGCACATACAAATTTTGTAATAATAACAGGTAATTCTGTTAGACTAATTTCATTATTGATTATATATTTGCGTAAATGAATTCTCTAAGTTGGTTCAACTCCAAGGAACTATACTTGAATAGTATGAATGGTAATATCAAGCTGAGTCTTTACTTCACGAATTGTAATATTATTTTTTTGAAAAAGAAGATTCATTCGCTTTAATATTCCAAGTATATCAGTAAAAAATTTTGTTGTTATAATAAAATTTTTATCAATGCTGTTATACAAAGCTTAAGCGATCATATTTTCATTCGAATCTTCAAGCAATGCATCACTTATAGAGTTTAAAATTTGATGAAAATTTTGAATAACATTAGATAATGATAACCAACAAGTTTTAATAATATTCAAAACTATAAGTTGAGGATCACTAATATTTTCTTCTTTCATTTTAAGGTGCATCATATACTCTACACTTCGTGAAAAATAGCTATAAATACTATGCACAATTTTCTCATATAATTTAAACTCTTCAACTTGCTTTGCAGCATCTTTTGTAGCTAATGCTAATTTATGAGAAATACAGTGATGTTCTAAAATAAAGAGGTTCTTATTTTTAAGTTGAGTTGCTACTCCACTATGAATACCTATAATAATTATAATATATAATTAATTATAAAATTTTATATAAACTATATAATAATAAGTAAAATGTAATATATTACCTATCATTGTACTAGCACCATCAGTGCAAATATGCATTAACTTATCATATGATATATTTTTTGCTAGAACAAATCGATAAATTTTAGCTATAATTGTATTTGTAGTACTATTTGTTAAGGAAATTAATCCAAAAAATCAGTAAAGTGGTTTTGCTAGTGCAATTGAGTGTTTGAAAACAATTGCTAAAACCTTTTCAGTTGAAATAGTGTTGTTTTCATCAATCATTATACTCCACCCATCTGAATTACGCAATTTCTGAAAAATCTCTTGTTCTATAACACGGCCAATTGATTCAATAAATTCACAAGCTGAAACATTATTTTGATAACTACTATATGGTGCTCGTTCATCATCAGCAGAAAAATCATTATTGAAAATATTTAAAATTTCAGTGCCACACTCAAATTGGTTTTGATTTTCAGCACGTTGAATTTCAGATAACTTATATAAATCCTCAAATATATTAGTAGACAAATTATGCTGAATTAAAAAGTATATATTACACATATTTCTCATAATTTTAATTTGATCAGTTCTAGCTTGAACAGCAAAACTAGAATATAAAGTAACTTGGGATTGCATTCAGGCAGCATAAACTATCTGGTGATCACTAGTAATAATATGACAGTTCAGGCTTTGCTTTTTAAAAAACTCACAACCTTCAGTAAAATTATTATTTTTACCAGCTTCCTTACACCAAAGACAAAACATATATTTATTTAATAGTCCTTCTCCACGATGAACCTAGAGATATATTTTAGGCCAATTCGGAGTTTAGTTTAATGATTCCTTGGCTAATCATAGTACTTTAAGTTGACGAGAATTATTCTCTTCTTCTGAAGTTGTAGAGACCTCATCATCACTATTATTAGCTGAGGTTTTTAATTGAGCGGCAATAGAAAATAGGTTAATGCTTAAATCAAGAGGTTTGGTTTTACAATTTGACATATTGAATATAATTTGATAATAGTAATAGTTACTATATTATTTACAAACTTTAATTCTTTTATATTTTATTATCGCTAAGCATTAAACTAATTTGGTAAGCTAATAACAAGTTCTTGTAATAATTCTGTTATACAAATGAAATTGTATAGCTAATAGCTTAATCATTTATATCAATCTGCCAGGATGTAGGTAACTGGATGCTAACAAGAAGTATAAATATTACTGGTTTATAAGTAAAATATGATTTTAAAGATTTGTATTTAATTATAAAGTTAACGTTAATTTTATTTATCAATATCCAAATTAGTATCGTGATTGTAAAGCCAATTTGTGTAAGTAAAATAGTATTATCGTGAGTTAATAAGTGACTTTCGTCACTAACAATCTAGCCCTAGAGGCAAGCACCTATTATAGCGACGACCACCAGGATACCAAGAACAATTCAGTGGAGTAAGAGTATTATTTATTTTAGGGTTGACGATTTATTTTACAAGTAAAAGCACTAATTAATTATTTATTTTCGCTTTGCTTATAAATACAAATTTTAACTACACTTCATTACATCATTATTTGATCACATTGTTTTAACTTTTCAATTATTTGATCACACCATTTTGACTTTTAAATACCTAATTACCGATTTTTCCCTAGTACATATGTTACTTGATCCAATCATAACTGATCATCATGTGGTCAAGTGAGCACAACACTAATTGAACATTTCGCATTCTTTTTGCAAGCTAAATATACACTTTTTTTTGTTTTTTTTTCCTACTAACCTGACTAGTTACTTATTCTTTTAGTGCTCCAAATCCATTCTCCTCACTAAATACACTGCATACTGCTTTTGACTATGACAGTATACATATTAATTGATATGAGATATGAGGCTAGTACAGTATAATGGTAATAATATATGTCTTGATGTAATATATAGTTGGTACTAACTATTTTTATTTATGAATTTCTAGTTAATACACATTTAAAAAATTAACTATTTCATAACGAATTTTGTACTTACGGACTAGAAGTTTAATATATAAGTGAATGAACAAATATATTAATAATAATAAAAAAATAAGTATATAGATTATTTTATAATAAACACTATATTTACTCTAGTAATTAACGTATTACTGAATGAATAATGAATATTTAGTACATTTATTATCTTTGAATAGTTCTTATGATTCATGGTTATTCAATATATCTTAATACAATTGTGCTATTCGATTCAAATTTTATAATTTTGTTGAAATTTCAGGTGCTTTTTTATATTTACCTATCATAAAATAAATCCTTTTAGATATCTTATTGATATCACTATAGATAAGTTAGAATCTAAGTGTTTTATTATTTAACTATTTAAACTTGATACTAACACTGTGTTTTTTCTACCTGCTTAGTATTAGTATATTATTTGGGTTCAAATTACTTATCATATAAACCTACGTACGTACATATATAAATCTTTAAAGATCATTACTTTATATATTAATTGGTTACTCACGTTGCATAAACTTTAAATATATGTTGTATATATATATATACAGAGTAGGTGGCATAAAATTTTTGGGCATGTCTGGGAACCTGGGTATGCCTAGGAACCAAAGAGTATACATATATCAGCTATTATTATAGCACTTCACTAACAGCCAATATAACAATTTAGCATATCAGTACATATATTGTTAGTAAATTATCACATTGGCTAAATAACTTGTTGAAGTAAGATGGAGCTATATTATGTTGTTATATACTGTATATATACCAGGGCATGCCCGAGGCATGATAAAAGAGGCATATCTTAAAATTTTGCTATGTCATTTTCTTTCCATTTATACTAGATATGTATTTTATATATAATCTATTATAATCATATTAAAAATTTATATTATTAAAATTAGAACATTTTATATAATATTTTGTTCTCATAATAGAATTAAGAACATAAAATTTTATAAATATTCTCTTTGAGAATATTTTAAAAGAGTAAAATGTTCTTAAATAAGAGAACCTTATTTAAATATTAATGTTCTTAAAAAAAATTTAATATTCTTTGAGAACACTGAGAATATTGAATTTTAAACACTGCTCATAAGCATTACTATGCTTATAAGTAACTTGTAATAAAAATTTATTTAATGCTAATTATTTATCAATTGCATTTTTTACATGCTAGTGATACAATTGAATCTTAGCATTTGGCCAAGTAAAACGGATTGCAGAAATCTGTGTAAAATCTTTATCTGTCAATATGAATTCAGGCAATAAACCTTGTAGCTTAATTTCATTAAGAAAGGTTAAAATAGTATCTGTTTGTATTCTATTTCTAGATTTGCTGTTACTTTCTAAAAACAGATATGCAATCGGATATTCAGAACTATCAATTTCTGCATATAATATGTAAAGTTCAAGCCCTAAATTATTTGTTTTATCTATAAAATAAATAAATAAATATTAATTATGTACAGTAATATATATAAATAAATAAAACATAAAATATATTATATAAATAAATAAAATACAAGTCGCATCTATTCCACATTCACATATATTAATGTTTAATTGTTTAAAATAGTTAAAGAACCCTGTTAAAAATCCAAGTGCTTGAACTGGTGTCATCATATTTACAATAATTTTATAATGTTCTTCTTCAATTCATATTAAAGCAGATTTAAAAGCATCGTCATGTTTTATATATTTAGCACTTCCAAATTTTGCCCACCAATAGTGAATTTGTTTCTGTACAATAGATTTATCCATACCCTTATTAATTAAATGTGAATAAAGTTTCTATGTTAATAAATCAATATTATTCTTAATATACTGTTTAATGTCTTCTGGTACTACTACGTTATTCAGTTTTGAATGCAAAATATTATGCTTGATTGTAATATTAGCAACTTGAATTGCTAAATTAATGTTTACTTTAATACATCTATCACAATTATATCATTCTATTGTTGTAGATTCTCTTCGTTTTTCTGAATTGATATGTTTACGAGGTTGCTTTGCCATATTTATTCTTTGAGAACAAAAATACCAAATACTTGTAGTATGTTGGCCATCATATTTATTATTATATCTAATAATAAGATAATATTATTAAATATATTTATTAATAATAAAATTTATTTAATAAATTAACAAAAATATATATACATCCAAGAGTATTCATCAACATCGCTAATAATATTTATTAAATTATTAGCAATCTCCTTTGAAGATTTATTGTATGAAGAAATATCAATAGCACATGAAAAATCAAAGCCTAATTGATTATTTTCTTTATCATTTTCTAATGTTTCGTGTAATTCAAGAAGATCATAAATATAATCTGCAAGATTATTTGGCTCTAATATCTCATTTGGTATTTCATTATTATTTATTAATTCATTTGGCATTTTATTATTATTCGATTGTTTATTCAGTATTTCATTATCATTCAATTGTTTATTTAGTATTTCATTATGATCATTCAATAGTTTATTATTTTCTCTACACCTTTTTGCTCAATCTCGATATGCATTACAAGTACAACATTTTTGGTTTGTATTTGAATTTATAAACTCTAGTTCAGCTTTTTGAACTTGACACATAGAGCAAAATATTTGAACAGTAGTATTATTCATATCTTTAAACGATATAAGATCAATTAATAATTCATATAGCATATAAAAATTCTGCTCAAAGATTTTTTTTAACTTACTGAACTTCGTTTTCTATATATTTTTTCTCATATACAACTCTCCTTTGTCCATACAACACCACGTACAATGCCTTAAAAGAACACTTTAAGAGACTATACAACGCTTTAAGAGATAAAACAATACAGTATTTATTAGATATATTCACTCAACAAAATAAGTAGAAGTTTGATTATATACTTAATCGAACTTATATTTATTATTTTATTTGCACTGTTCAAAATCGACCCATAATTACTAAATATACAGGTATCGTTATTATATTACATATATATAGTATTATAACTACAGTAAACTACAGTATATTGATATCAGATATCGATATCGATACAAATTTAATACTGTGAATTTTATTGGTCAATCATGTCAATTAGTCACGTGCAAGTACTTTTTTACTGGCTACGCTGGGGTAGTTCAAACCCGAAGCTAAATCATATAACTAATCAACCAAAATTCATTGGTTCACCCAAAAATAGCACTAATTATTAAAATTCCCCTTTTAATTTCATTTAATTAAACACAAATTAATTACTTACATATTTGTACTAATTCTAAATTAATACAACATAACAATAAAACCTTACTATTTTTAGCTTGGTAAGACATATCAGGCTTTGTACTACATTAGCCACATCAGCCACAAGCCACACTAGCCACCTTGTAGGTTATATAACTAGTGTTACATTATGCAAATTAAACTATACCTCTTTGTGAAGCCCTCTTCGTTCTCACTCCAAATATAATATTATCAAATGATCTAAAACCTTCTATAATAACTTTTAAAGCAAACTTACTACTATAACAACATGTTTACTCTTACACAACACGAATCTGACTCTTTTGACTTAGACTACTTCTTATCCAAATACAGTGATAAATATAGTATAGTCACATGTGAACAAAATCTCGTCTAACTCAAACCAATGCCTTTCGCCTTTAATCCTTCTCAATGCGCACTTGCAAAACAACTCCACTACTTTAATATACCAACTCAACCTTCTCTAATCAACTATCTTTGCAACAAATACCATATATATTTTACTTCAAAATATCATACTTTGGAAATCTCTAGACCTAGCACTTCTACACTAACTCATAACACTCCTACACCCATGGACATCACACCAAAACAAGTTCAGAAAATTCAAGAGCAAATTTCTAAATTACCAATTAAACAAAACATAACTTCATTACCTTCTTTCCCATTTAACTATAATACTATAAGCATTGCGATATCTTCTACAAATCTAAATCCCCTTGACCAACAAATTCCAATCACTGCTCACTCTCATCATGTTCACACATGCTTAGTTTGCTACAAAAAAAAATTCTTTGTGTCTTCCTTTCTAATAACAAATACTCTCTCTAATCTGAATCTATTCTTAAAGGCTTTTCTGTTTATTCCGAATATATTAATAATATTTAAATCAAACCTCTCTCTCAATTCAAACCTTTAACATTAACCTAACAAAATACTTTTTACTTTATCAAATTTAGCCTCATGCCTGCTGACCAAAAAAAGGTTCTACTTAAATCTGTTCTTTCTAAACTTTCAAAAAAACTTCTTCCCAAAAAAAATACTTCAAATGATCTCAATTAGTTTAAAACTTTCTTTATAATTGAGGAAATAGAACAATACACTCAACTTAACATACAAGTTTCAATCAAACTTTTTAATTTCTTAAAACCAAATCTCATTAACTTTACACCAGGGAAAATTCTTAAACCAGCATCTGAAAATACTCTGCCTCTAAGAGCAATTTCAAATACCTTATTAAATCAATAGCAAGTCAATGTTCTGATTTCCTTACTGACCTCATTTACAATGCAAATCCAAAAATTGACAAAGCTACTACAATCCCTTTCGATATCATTCTTTCAACTTTTAAATTACTTTTATTCAAATTTACAATAATTCTTTTCACCAAACTTAACTATCAAAAAATTCTATCATCCTTCAACATAATTCCCCTTATACTATCCAAAACTATAACTTATTCACTATCAATCTTGTTAGAATTTATCTCTTTCTCCATGATAATTACAAAACTATTCATGCCAACAAATTTTTCAAAGATCTTAATATTAAACTGAAAAGATTCCAACTACTCTACTTCATCTCAGAAGATAAAATTCATCAACCTCTTTTCCAAATACAACACAATAACAAATTCAATATTAATGTCTCTCTTAATATTCCTAAACAAGAATTTACAGAAACCTTCAGGATTCCTTCACTAAAAAAACACAAAGAAGATCTTGACAAATGGCTTGAACTATTTTTCAAAATTTATAAACACCAATTTCTAACAATTGACCAAACCAAAACCTACAACTATATCAAACATAAAATTGCACTTAACATGGCTAAAGCTTGTAAAAAACTTCTTCTAAAAGATTTCAAAATAATCTCAATTAAATCTCTTCGTGAATATACTATTTTATGTACCAAAGCTACTCTCTTCTAATCCATACCTGCACTGGCATGGACTGCAACATTTTGCCTAATGACACAGAACATACTTTCAAGAATATTTCAACTTCATTCTTTGACCAATCCTTTACCAAATTTCCTGCAACTCCATCTTCTGATCCTCCTAAAGATAGAGTTAGATGGATATATCCTGAACTTAACACCTTACAATTTGAAAAAAACTAACCAAATAAAGCATCATTTCAAATCCCTACACTAATTACTCTATTTTGCAAACTAGCAAATTCAGCTAAACAGGAATTTGTTAAAGAAAATAATACTGCAACTTGTATCAAAAGACGCACTTATGATTTTTATACTTACCTCAAAGCCTTTCTCTCATCTGCAGCTATCAATGAAGGAATATCTACTCTTAATAATCATTAAGCAATTCAAAAAACAATTTCTAAATCTACAAATACCTATTACCTCACTAGAATTCTAACATACTTCCATCTACTTCAACAACTAAAGCTTTCTATTATACAAATTTCTGCTGAATACTTTTGTTTCAATTCATAATCCATTTATCCATTTATCTATCAGATATTCATATTCAAATTTATCTGGATATCCATTTACTATTAATATCCAGATAATTATTCAGATATCTGTTAGATTATCCGGATATCAATAGTAAATAGATATCTAGATAAATTTGAATATAGATGAATGGATAACAGATTTATCTAAATTGAAACTCTACTGAATACAGGAACAGGTTCTATTCTCAAGCAGAAAAAATTATCTTTGAGAAATATAATATCCAATTCAATACAATCACTATTAATGATAATATTTTATTCAATATATCATCCTCACCTCAAACTAAAAACAAAAACACCAAACAAACTTATACTAACAAACTCAATTCTAATATCAATTCGACAATATTCTATATCTCTTTTCAATAAACTCTTCTGTAAATAACATTGATACAATCGCCACTTCTAGAATAATGATGTTCTCCACTAACTGTGAGCTATTTTTAGAAGAAAATATAGTAAGTAGATGGGTAGAAAAATCTATTTATATGGAAGACCAATTTTATGACAGCTCGACTCAATGTATAGGACAGGCTTTGGACTCTTATACAACTGTAAAAACTGGGTATACGGTAAGCGACTCTACAGAAGAATCATTCTTTCCTTCAGTTACCAATACATTATCTCATACTGAAAAAATTACCTGTTTTAACAACTTTCACTAATAAACAATCTTCCTATACTCAGTAAAAATGAAACACTAAATTCATTTCTCAAACATTTACAAAAACTATTATATCTACTTCCACTCAAAATCTCAATAAATACATCTCAAACTGAAACCCATATTTAAACAAATACAAAAGAACCAACACTTCCAAATTACATCATACTCCTTCCTCACCTCTACTACAAATTCTACAATTTACCAATCTGTACAAAAATCAAACAACCACTAATTAACTAAAACATCTTTCTTGAATCTCTAATCTTTCTAATTCTACTAACTACTAAATAACAAACTCATCTTCTACAGAAAATGAAATACTATCTCATACACTCAAAATTAACTCTCTTAATACAAATGGTCTATTAGAGAGCTACAAACAACAATGTTTAGTAGACTATATCACAGAAAATCAAATTGACATATTTGGCATCTCACAAACCCATCTAAATTTAAAAGAAGCAAAATTCTCTTTTATATCCAAAAATCTTACTAACTACTATAACTTCTGGACACCTAGTGATAGTTACTAGGGAGGTGTTAGAATTCTAATCCACAAGCAAATAGCAAAATATATTAGAAAAATTTAAAGCTTTAAAAACTTTATAATTGAAATTGATTTCCATTTCAAAAACAATTACACAAAACTCATCCAAATATACTTTCTAATACAGGAGAAAAAACAACTGTATAAAGAAATTATTACCTATCTAACTTCTATTTTACAATCTACTTACTTTAAAATTATAATCATGGGTGACCTAAATGATACTCCAAACCTCAAACTTGACAGATTACCTCCCAAAAAAACTAATATCTCTGAAAACCAACTTCTCAAAATCCTCAAACACCAAAATCTCTATGACATATTCTGACTTTTCCATCTAACTACCACCAAATTTACATATATTCTTAATGAAAGTGTAAGCAAAATTGACCAAGTGTAGACCAACATCCATATCACACTTCTTGACTATGCAGATATTCTACCAAACCCTTTCGCTATATCAGACTACTCAATAATTACTTTTGAAACAACAATCTTTCTAAACAAACCCACTACACTTCTGCTTTAATACAAGAACTCTATTCACATAGGACAAAATACAATCTACTCAAATAGAAGCTTATTAATAA